TATGAGGTTTTTTAGCTCAATACTATTTTAGCATAATTAAAAAGCAATTGTAACAATGTATTCCAGTTATGTTATTTATACATTGTTTAGGTAAACAGTGGCCCCATGTTATTAAAAAAAATGTTATTAGGATCATAGGTCCACCACTGATTATACAGCGTAACATGACAATGATCAAGCCAAATGCTGACAACCATGTCAAGAAAAACTTATGACATGATTCTATGTTGCACTATCACAACAAATTGGCAGGGATTCTTTTTTCATCAATCCTTTATACAAAAATCATATAATGACTATATTTACTAGTACGCATCATCCTTGCGTCTGCATGAATTCATGAACGCGTATGTACAGATAATCGATTGGACATAATTATAGTTGGGGCAAAAGACAGGAAATAACCAAACGTTAATTATATTTCCATAGTTGGTGAGGCGTGGCAGCTGTGGTTAATTAAGGAAAGTGTATATCGCAGAGAATATTGCAACCAGCTATACTGCAGGTCAAAGATCTCCAACTTATATTTTGAGAGGTATCAAGAGGTGGTGCGTCTAAAACAGCTCATCATACGCTTTGCTATGTGGATGGTTTTGAGCGGTGGCAAGCAGATAGATTTTATATTTTATAGAGGGGAACATTCTAAAAAAAATGTGGTACAAAACCCTGAGCACTTGCCGAATCATATATTGTGATACTTTTTCCTGAAGACACACTCCCTAGCTAGCAGCCAATCAAATAAAAACAATATTATCCTTGGAGAAAAAAACAACGTGTGTCGAAGAAGCTAGAAGAACTGGTGCATCCAAAAAATGGATGTACGCACCTACCAACGCTCAAGAACAGGCCTGAATGAACCGGAAGCACCCAAAACAATTTTAGAAATTAGAGATTTAACTTTCTGTGACCATTATTCCATATGTGCACCGGAACATAGAAAGGACGAAATCCATATCATGAACAAATCTCATCTCACAGGTCACCGTCTGGGTACCATGTCCTCCTGCTCTATATATAGCACTAGATATGGGATAGGACTAGATATGTGGATAGCAACTCTAGAATCCTATCTAGAACTAGCAACTTCCAGATTGCACATTACGAGCATGTGCATAGTAAGAGCATCTACAGCCGCAGCCTGCAAATTTGGGTCCTTAAACGTCCGTGGACAGTGACTAGATGGGTTTCAAATTTTGCCATTTACAACCACAAACCCTAAAACAGCTAATACATGCAAACACATGCACATCGATGATTTTGGATGTTTAGTCGGGGCTGTTGATTAAACACCAAATATATGCTCATACTTCAGATTTTCACATATGTATATTGGACAGACGGGTTTCGGATGTTTAGTCCCACCTCGCCGCGTGACAAGCGAGTGGAATGTGTTAAATAGCCGGATCGTCCAGAAGCGATAAGCTTCGGGCATCATTACACTCTTTGTTAAGGATATAGATTGTCACAATTAATCTTCTCGGCTTATCACAGAGAAGATTAATAATCATGGTCTAAATCCTTTAATAACTAAACATTGATGGTTACACGACTCTTTTTGAATCACAATGTTTCGAACGGGCAAAGTGCACTCTGATGCAAGGGCAGCGGCAGAGCTGTAGACGTTCGATGCTGAGAAGCAATTGTAAAGAGGTAGATCAGAGGGGAATTCCGCTCACTTTTTGTGAGGGTCGGACTGTCAGCCCGACGTGACGGACGCGCTCAGGCCTCCCCATATGTGTCTTATATACGGGTTGATGAGGGATGCCGATCAGGCTGGACGTTTGAGTCCTGTTTAAGACGTCTGTCTAGATAGACTTTTTTTATCAATCACTGACCACCGAGACGCCCGCCGGACGTACAATGGGTTTGAGGCGCCTGACCGTAGATGCTCTACATCCACATTGGCAAGACGACGAATCCTTGCATTATCGCACCCGCCGGTGTGCCAGCATCAAGTCTTTTTCTGACAATGTCCTGGCCAGGCACGAACACTAGCTATCAAATCCTCTCAGCCTTGGGGCACTGGGACTTCACCGTTCACACCAAATGGTCAGGCACACCGATAGAAATGCATGGTGTATGTGCGTTGACCAGAAAATGCCAGGCCCACAACATAATGTGTTGTGGTGTACGTAGATGATAGGCAGTGTGGCCGGCCATACGATCGAGCACCGCGGACGGTGCTTTCTGCGTCCAATTCCGTCCAATTCTCCCTAGTGATCATTGATACCCGATAAGTGATGGGTGCACTATGCGATCGAGCGGAATGAGCACGTGGTGGTGGTGCGGTCTAGGCACTGTCGTTTTGCAGAAGTGCGGTGCTCACTTCGAGCTTTCTCTCCCCATGTGTCGGATAAACTCCACACCCCTCCTAGGGTTTGCTTTTTTATACCTTTTGTCACTTCACAGTTTTGTCCTCGCACCATGCTGCTACTGTGCTACTACATATCGCTTAACCGGTTACATGCATCACTTTTGCAATGTCTATCTCCTAGCTAGCGAACTTCTTTTTTATGTCTCGAAATGTCTTGCGTTTCGCACGTGCAACAAACCTTTGAGACACCAAATTCGGATGAGGATGACAGAAAAGATCTTACGCAGAGCGTAGGTTTGCTGATATGCATGTTCCCGTTTTTTTTTTTGAGGGGTCAGGGGGATATATGAATGTTCGTTCACCCATCATCATCATTGACCAAGTGAAGACAGATAAACATAGAGACATGCTGATCTCAATAGACTTCTATCCCAAGTTTGCCGCGGCGAGCGGAAAGAATATGGAAGAAATAGTACTTGATACCGACCACAGTGGAGTGCATGCCCAACTTCGCTTGCTTCGAATCTGGGGTCATCGGTCAAACCGGCGACTTCCACAGACTGACCTCATGCATGACCTCTTTTCTCTCGTCATGCAGGGAGATCATCAGCACCTACTGCCGCGAAGTCCGGCTGCTCGGCCTCCGACTCCTGGGCGCGATCTCCCTGGGCCTGGGCCTCGAGGAGGACTACATCGAGAATGTGCTGGGCGAGCAGGAGCAGCACATGGCCGTCAACTACTACCCGCGGTGCCCCGAGCCGGACCTCACCTACGGCCTGCCCAAGCACACGGACCCCAACGCCCTCACCATTCTCCTCATGGACCCCCACGTCTCCGGCCTGCAGGTGCTCAAGGACGGCGCCCAGTGGATCGCCGTCGACCCCCGGCCCAACGCCCTCGTCGTCAACCTAGGCGACCAGTTACAGGTAAAATTCCCACGAGCCATTGGCAACTACTCCTAGTAATTTATGCAGTAGTGAGTTGTGACGAGCTGATGCAAACTATGCATCTATAGGCAGTGAGCAACGGCGCGTACAAGAGCGTCTGGCACCGCGCGGTGGTCAATGCGGCGCGGGAGCGCCTGTCGGTGGCATCTTTCCTGTGCCCGTGCAACAGCGCGGTGATCGGCCCGGCGGACAAGCTCGTCGGCGACGGGGACGAGCCCGTGTACCGCAGCTACACCTACGACGAGTACTACAAGAAGTTCTGGAGCAGGAACCTGGACCAGGACCACTGCCTGGAGCTCTTCACGGGTCAGAAGTGATCCGTGTGCGCAAGCTTGCCTCATCTACGGTTGGGTGCAGTGGACATCCACGACGCAGCATTACTCAAATAAAAAATGCCCCCAATGTGCGGGGTTACTCGAGTTGTTTGAACTTGTTTTTGCTTCAGCACAACGTATCTATCGATGTTCATCTTGTATTGTATTCCCTATATACTAGTACGTGTGTGTGTGTGTGTTTGTTTATTAATTGTGATCCTACTTGTAAAGAATTATGGTACACTGGTCCAAGAGGAAACGCTGTGTAATAAATTTGCTGTCGAGGAGCTGAGCTAACTAAACCAAAATGTTAGAGCAACCATAAGAAGCCCTATTAAGTACTCCCTACTTAGTGATCTAAATGCTCTTATATTTCTTTACAAAGGGAGTAGTAGGCTATAATGTGTTTCCTGCCATCATCAGAATCCTATTTTGACGTGAGAAGGTAAGAGAAGAGAAAAGAGAGAATGAAGCCCGCACACCGTGTACCACCCAGCCTAAACACATAAAACTAGAGAAAAATAACCTCAGTGCGAACGTTACAAGCATGTGTTTCACTAGATGATTCCCCGCGCGTTGAGGTGGGATGTTAGCAATCGAATCAGCTCGTGTGAAGGGTGAACATTAGTCACAACCCAATTTTTTTCCCTAAATCTTGGTTCTGAATCTAGAAGCATATGCACTCATGATTTATCTTGCAATTTTTTCCTAACATGACCAACTTTTGATTCACTTTCACTTTCAAGTTTAATTGGAGGCCATGAAAGTTTCACAAAAGAAAAATAAAATCAGAAATTGCATAAGGGCAGGAAATGAATTTCCTTAGATTAATATTTTCCCCATTTTATTTGTGTGAACCAGGGTTTGAAAATAGTTTATATTGGGCATTTAAACTATGGGTAAAACCCTGGATAAAAGAAAGAAAACAGAAAAACAGGAATAAAAAGAAAATACTTTGCAAATAGGCCCATTAGTAATTGCCAAAAATAGTTTGTCAAAATCCTCTAGAAAAATGTCCAAACAATTAAAAATATTCCCAAAGGATTTTAGGAGAAGTTGTTCTTTTGAAGAAAATTGAAATTAAAATAAGAGAGAGCATAAACGAAAAGAATAAAAGAAAAAGGAAAAGGGGGCAAGGCCCAGGTAGTCAACCAGTTGCGGCCCAGCCAGCCAGCCAGCCAACCCAGCCCCCGCACGCTCTCTCTCGCTCTCCTTCTCTCTCTTTCCACCAGGCGAACCCCGCACGTCAGCTCCGCCCCTGCCTCGCGCAACTGTCGCCGACGTACTCGCGCATGAACTCGAACCCCATTCGCGCACGTATGTATGTTCACACGCTACGGCCGCTCCCAACCTCCGCGTCCATGTCTGTTAAATAGCCCCGGACCCCCTCCCCTTTTCTCCCCGGTCAATCGAGCCCGAGTGCTGCCAGGCTGCCAGCAACGCACCCCGGTCGTCCGCCATTGACCTAACAATTGCCGGCTTGATTCTGATGAGGCCAGAGCCCCTCGCGAACACGCACTGCCACCACGAGGTCCGCCGCTCCATGGCGATCCTCCTGGACATCATCGCCGCGCCTGTAGCCCTCTGGAATGCCAAGACCACCAGAGCCCAAAGCTCGCTGTTGTTGTGAGCTCAACTCCGGCGAACTCTGTAAGCCCCGAGCCTCAAACCATGTCCATTGTGTTCATTTTGGTTGTGTGTATCTCACTGGCCGACGCCAACGTCCAAACGCGTTTGTTTTTTAGCACAACATCACGCCCGAAGTCCCTTGTTGTCTCTCTGAACTTTGACGATCCCGCAGCCATCGTCTCTGTCGTCCTCGAGGCCAGCCGATGCCGCCTTCGACTTTCTCGAGCCACGATGAGGCCGTCCGTGCCCATCATCGCCCTGGAGCCCCCCTGGAACCCCGTCGTCATCGACACCCGAACACAACGACGCCACGTTCGTGTTTTCCCGCGAGTCTCTGGTAACCTAGCCGTCGTGGTGAGCTCTGATCTAATCCTGGCCGTTCGATTTCAATCCAACACGTTAGAATAGATCACTTAAGAAGATTTGGTAAGTTAGTTGTAAGCCGCTAGAAACAGATCGGACGAACGCATTTTAATTTTATTTCCTAAATGGTATCAACCAATCAAAGAGCACCACGTATCCAACCTTATCCAAAACATTATCCAAAACGAATTTGCTTCATTAAAAAGAAAAGGTAGTTTGTAAAAAAAAGTTTGTGGAACTTCTAACTATCATAACAACTTATCCATAGGTCCAAATTGAATGATTCCTTTTGCAAATAAAACCTTAGGAGATGTACTTTCTGAATAATTTTAGGAAAAGTAAATTTGAAAAAAAATCAAATTTGAATTTCAAATAGAATATTTTAAATCTTAAAATGGGCATAACTTCTAAAATACAAAACCAAATCAGATGATTCTTTTGTATTTGGAAGCTAGTGAATTGTAGTTTAATTTAGTCCAGTGTTGGTAAATTTATAAATATTTATAAAATAGTTTCTAGATAGAATCTTAACAACACTAGTTTCACATATATATTTGAATGTATTTAGTGAATCAAAACCTAGCTAACAACCAAATTAATTCAGTATAATTTATAGACTTGTTTGAAATTAATAGGGCACTTAATAAGATATCTTTAAAATAAATTTGGATCATGGTTTGAATGAAAAAAAGTAGTTTAGTAATGATGAAACCCTGGATATTTTATAAAAGTGATTTTGGATAAAATAAATATTTTAATTAAACTTTGGGGTTTAAATCATGTTGACCTAGGAGTTTCAAATTTCAAATTGAAAGTCGAACTTAGATCAAATAGAAATTCAAATAGTGCAAGCCACTTCTCAAAATTCAAATCAAGTTTTAGAAACCAAATTGAGGTATTAAATTATTTAGGGTTCTTAAATATTAGACTAGGCTTTTCAAATTGAAATTTTTATTTAGTCAAATACAAACCAAGTTGAGCATCCAAATTGGGAAAATCAAACTGAATGAAATCATACCCAAACAATCCAACACCTTGTGATGTGTGATTTGTTCTTTGCATTCATGCAAGTTTTCATTTGCATGAATTGTGTGCTTTTGAACGCTATGTGTTATTTTTCTGTTAATGTTAGATTACGAGGAGTGCAACCCCTGTGACTGTCAGGAGTGCACCGGTGACAACAACAACCAAGGCAAGTTCCACTTTGACCATGTTACCAAGTATTTTCCTGGAGTGTAGTTTTTCCATGATATGTGTGTGAGTTTAGGATGCTAAATTATGTACAACCCAGTAGTTGACAACTTAAATCCATACTTACCCTCACCTTGTAACCATCGAGTAGATGCTTACCTACTATGACATGGATTGGAAAACATCAATTACTATTGAACTATACAACTGTATGGTTGACTACTTAATAAATGAATCAACAATGCGGTGCTTCGGTATTGCTTGGTGGTCGACAATTTTCTAGGCGACCCCCAGGCTCAAAGGAATCATATGAGTTCAAAATTGAGTAGCTTCCATGTGTAACAGTGAGAGAATACGGGCTCTGTCTGGACCAAGTAAGTTGTGGGAACCCTCCTAGGCATGACCAGCAGATGTAGGTGTGTAGGTTTGATTGGGTCCACCATCTCAGAGAGGGCTACTACTTCCCAAAAATCTCATCTTAGTCTACCTAGCTACTTCACGAGTGAAGTTTACTAGAAGGAAGGTGCTATCAGGAATCATGGGTAAAGTACACAAACCTCTTCAAAGTGTATAAAATAGATCATGATCGTGTCCCCGGAGATGGACATCTTCAGCAACTCATCGAAGAATTGTCAGCTTGATCTCATCACCATTTTTCCAATAAAATTTATGGGTTGAGCAAAAGGGGGGTATGGACCTGATCTCATAGGGTTGGGGATGTACCAGGGCCTCTGGAGATTGTCTTAGGGCAATCGTAGGATGCAGGAACCCACATGCTCAAATGCATTTGGATGATCGAGTGATACGATCCAGGACTGCTGCAAGATGTAGTAAGTCCAGCTATTAGAGTAGACCACTTTTAAAATAATAAGGCAAAACTATATTTTTTGCAAAGAGCCATGAGCCCCACCAGCCAAAGTGCATGTAGGTGAATAGGATCCCAGTGAACTATGAACTTGTCAACATATTCAAAGTATTGACCCTAGTCACTGCAACGTGTCAAGTTGCAGGTGACTACCATGAGGAGTGACTTACGTAGCGTTTCGTGCCTCCACTTGACATGCTTCCCTGTGATGGAGCTTACCAAGACATCTACTTAGATTTGCTTTCGTTTCGGCTTGATGTGAAATATGTTTGCTTATTGTAAGACTATGTATTTGACTGATCTTTGGCCAGAGTGTGTAAGACTATTTGCTTTCTGGATCATGCGATGTAATAAAGTATTTGTGTATGATACACCATCGTTACCTTGTATGTCGATGATTTGATCTAGGTTTGACATAGAAACACACGGAGACCATATGCCTAAAAAGGTGGGCCATGACAACATTAAGGAAGAAAAGGAAGGAAAAGGAAGATAAAATATTGTCGATGTGGTGGTACAATGTTTTTCTCATCTACATGAAAGGATTAACTCATGATTAACTAGCATGCAATTTAGAAAAATGTCTTCTCTAATGACGTTACTTGATGATTGAGTCATCTGACTATATAAATATTTTTTAGAAAATGATCTGACTATATAAACATATGCACCTATATATAGAATAAACTTTGAGAACATTCCATGCACTCCCTCCATTCCTAAATATAGGTTTTTCTAGATATTTCAACAAATGACTACATACGGAGCAAAATGGGTGAATCTACACTCTAAAATATGTCTATATACATCTGTATGCGGTAGTTCATTTGAAATCTCTAAAAAAACCTATATTTACGAACGGAGGGAGTATATATATATGTAAATAGACTTCAACAACCGACATTGTTATTATAAAGAAAGGGGGTGCGAAATTGTTAATATTGGTAATCAACAA